TTAATTCATTAACTTCTACATTTATCTATTATTCCCTTTTTTTGTGTGTTTTGCTTTGCTCTTTTTGTTTCTGAGTTGGGAATTATTTATTTTCAATCTTCTATTTTTACTATGCTAAAGTAACCGGATTAGGCCCAAGGTGGAGTTGATCATGCTAAGCCCCAAGTCAGAAAGCCAAAATTTAGTGGTTAGTTTTCTACACTCAGCTCTTCCAGAAAAAGATAAGCCTAAGTCAATCTATCAGCACAAGTTACCTGACCCAGCTCCAAGACTTCCTTTTGCTCCATTAAGGCCAGTAACTCCATTTTAACGAATCAGCAAATGCCCAGTATAACTTCCTTGTTCCTCCTGCTCACTTTGGTCTATCAAAATCTCTTGGCCTTCTGCAGCTCTTTGGAGCTCCTTTCTACCTGCTAGACTGGATGTTGCCCAATGTATCAACTGCTGATAAAGCCAACAAAATCTTTAGAATTTACTTTTGAATTTTCCTTTAACAGCTGATAATTTAGGAGTACAAATTTTCCTCTGCTCACTGCTTTAAACGTATTCCACAGATTCTGGTATGTACGTAGCATTTTCATTATTATTACTTATAAATTTATTTATTTATTTACTTTTGGCTGTTTTGGTTCTTTGTTGCCGTGTGCAGCTTTCTCTAGTTGCAGGAAGGAGGGGCTACTCTTCGTTGCAATGCGCAGGCTTTTCATTGCAGTGGCTTCTCTTGTTGTGGAGCATGGGCTCTAGGCACGTGGGCTTCAGTAGTTTTGGCACACGGGCTCAGCAGTTGTGGCTCATGGGCTCTAGAGCATAGGCTCAGTAGTTGTGGTGCACGGGCTTAGTTGCTCTGCGGCATGTGGGATCTTCCCGGACCAGGGCTCGAACCCATGGCCCCCGCATTGACACGTGGATTCTTAACCACTGCACCACCAGGGAAGCCCCATTATTATTACTTTTTAGAAACTCTGTAATTTGTTTGCATTCCCTGTTTATCCAAAAGTTGATTTTTTTAAATTGAGGCATAATTTTGAATGCATATCAAAGATGCTGAACTTTTCAAGTTCAATCAAGATGCTGAAATTTTCTATCACTCTAGAAAGCTCCCTCATGTCCTTTCACAGTTTTTCTCCTCCTCCCAGTTTTAGCACAATTGCTTAATTTTGCACATATTTAAGATTTTACATAAATGGAATAAAACTATGTGGACATTTTGAGATTTATCCATGTTATTGCATGTATAATGGTTCAATGCTTCTTACTGCTGAGTGAAACTGAACTTTATCAATATATTAGTCTATCCATTCTCCACCCAGACTTGAATACTATGAATAAAACTGCTATGAACTTTTTTGCACAAGGCTTTCTAACATATAATAGAAGGTTTCTAAATTTCAAGATGGAAGTGCCCTTTTGCTTTTTGGTTTTGCTTTTGCTTTCTTGAATGGAACCTACTGATGTTTTCCTAATTTAGCAACAATTTTTATGAATAGTCTGTGTTTGAAATATAGTGTCTACTAGGATGTAGCAATGGATATACCTGATGATCTGCCTTATTATGTGGTTTAGATCTTTTATGACCTTATTTTTTGTCTACAACACTTATCTTGTGCTAAGAGTATTAAAGTCTCCAATTTTTAGTGCTTTTCACTACTTGCATTTTTTATAGCTTCTGATTTACACAGATTGTTGCTGTTATTTGGTTCATATATACAACTATTGTATCTTTGTTGTGAATTGTGGTTGTAGCATTATAAACTGTCCTCTTTTGTCTTGTTCAATGCTTTTCGGTTATCAGCATTGCCAATCCTGTTTTCTTATTATTTGTTTGCCAGGTATATCTTTGTTCATTCTTTTACTTTTACTGTTTTAAGGGCCTTTTGTACGTTATAAAGTGGGTTTTGCTTTTCTAAGGCAATTTGAAAATATTTTTAATTGGCGATGCGCCACTATTTCTTGCTGTGTATGTTGCTTTTGAGAAACCCAATAACAGACTAATTCTCTGGCCCTTGTAAGTCACTTCATCTTTTTACCCTGGAGGCCCTGAGAATTTTTCTGAAACTTTAAAGCTGTATAGCTTTACTACAATATATCTTGGAGTTTATCTTCTGGTATGAACTTTTCATATATTCAAGATTCAGATTGTTTATTTCCAGAAAGTTTTCTTGATTATGCGTTTAAATGTTATGCTTTTATTCCTCTGCCTTCTTGAGAGACACCAATTACATGTGAGAATTTTTGTACCCACCTTTCACTAAAACTGTCATTTTCATTCTCTTAGTTTTGTTTTTCTTCTATGTCTTTTATCACATTTGCATTTGACTCTATTGTTTGTTGGGAAACTTGTAACTTAGTCTTTATTTCTGATATAATTTTTTTCCTTCTACTTTCTCAGTTTAATCTAATCTGACTTTATTTCATCCTGTTTTTTGTCCCTTTCCGTTCTGTGTTATATTTCTGAGTGAAGGTATTTTTTTACCCTTATCTCCAAATATGGTTTGAAGATGTTTTATTTCATTTTGAGTCTTATTGTGTCAATTTTCTTCTGCCTCACGATTTCATTTTTTGGGGGAGAAGGAGAGATATTCATCAGCTGATATGCTTTGACTCACACTGTTTCTTCTCAGAGAAGTTCTATATGGATGTGATCCATTCTTTTCTATTTCTATTCATTTCACAGTCAGAGTTCCTAGTTAAAGAACATCCTCTTTCTTTCTCTTTAAGATTATTAATTTTTTCCTCTTCCTTCTTTCTCTTTATCCATGACTCCAAGTCTCCATGTCTTCACTCCTTCCCTATGAAGCACTGGTAATTGCAGCTTACCAATTCTGGTATTGTTTGCATTCAAGCTCTTCTACGTGGCTGGAACTGTGAACTATCAGATTTCAAACCTGTGTTCAGTATTTTGGAACTTAAGTGATGAATTTCTCTTTTGGAAGTGGTATTTTTGTGCTTCATCTAAGCCTTCCATGTCCCTAAACTCTTTCAACAAACCTGTTAAGACTTCCCTTTCCCACTCTTCATATGGGCAGGAGGAGCTCTTGGAATCTGATTTCTCTGCTTATAGGTAATTTGAAGGTTGTGGTAATCTGTTTCTTAGTGCTGAAGGCAGGGGTGGTGTGTGATTTATACATGCTTGTTTATTGGTTTATAGGTAGGTAGGTGGGAAAATTGCATCAGGCTTCTGCCACTGTTCTCCAGACTTAGAAGTCTATACATACATGTTTAAGCAGTATATTAGAACATATTATCTTAGAAATATTGCTTTTGCCATTTTCTGAAACACTTCCCCTGTCACACATTAGATTCACTTTTTGTATCACTTGACAGTTTTCCAGAGTAAGTCTTGTTCATTTTCATCTAATTTGGTTTAGAAACACATTTTCTCTACAGGAGTTTATTTGTAAATTCCACAGTACCTTATGAAATACTTTTGCTACTTATTTGTAAAAAGTCTGTTAAGATTAGTAATACAACTAATATAAGTCATACAACTTAAAGGATGCTTAATATGTGCTAGGGACATTCTAAGCACTTAATATGTAGCAATGCATTTAATCCTTACAAATATTATTACTCCCTTTTTACAAATGAGGAAGCAGAGGTTCAAATGGATTAAGTAATTTGCCCAAGGTCATAGAGCTAAAATGAACACTAGCAATATGAATCAAGGGAATTATCTTAAATCTATGTTCAATTTTAACCTCCTTTCTCTTTCTTTCTTAACTTCTGTAAGCACAGAAAACAAATATCAAATAAAACTGTTTCAGGTAATGTGCCATTCTGAACACACTGCTCTTCAAAATAAAACTGAAAAATCATGTTAGGTGACTACTCAAGGCTTTGAATATAAGGTGATGGGATGACTGCAGGTGGTGAAACCTTGCCTAATATTAGGGCATATATGGTAACTCCTCAACTAGCACAGAGGAAGTCAAAATATAATACCTAAAATTCATACATCAGGTAATGGAAGTCTAATATTTACAATTATGGAGATGGATATTAGATCAAAAAGATAAAAGAATTAAAAGTAGTTGTCTCAGGACTTCCCTAGCAGTCCAGTGGTTAAGACTCCGTGCTTCCACTGCAGGGGGCATGGATTTGATCCCTGATCAGGAAACTAAGATCCCACATGCCATGAGGCACAGCCAAAAAAAAAAAGTACTTGTCTCATGAAAGCTGAACTGGGAAGAGAAAAAAAGATTGCTGCAAGGGATCCTTTCTGGGGGTACACTTCTATTATTGTTTACATGGTACTATCAAGTGCATGCATTAGTTTTATAAAAATAAAAGTTAATTTTTATAAAGTATAAAGTACCTCTAAAAAATTCAGTAATTGGTAAAAGATTGAGAGACTGATGATATCTGGCATTGGCAAATTTATGTATGGGAGAAAAAGCACTCATATACACTTGGTAGGAAGGCAAATATATGCCATCTTTTTGGAAGGCAATTTGTATTACTTATGAAAACTCTAAAAAAAAATGAGCATGCCTTTGACCAGGGAATTCCACTTTCAGGAATCTGTCCTTCAGAAATACTCATAGGACACAAGAATCCATGTGGAAGGATATTTCTTGCAGCAATAATGTAATAGTGAAAAACTGAAGGCAATCTAACCATCAGTAGGGGGGTGATTTACTACAGGTAAAATACTGAGTAAAAAGTATTTGAAATACTGAAAAAAAGTAAATTGCCAAATACGAATAATATGACTCATTTTTTATTAAAAGAAACAATATATGCTGGTATATGCACAGATTGATATATCTGTGTTTGTTTATGCATGCATTTAGAAAGATCCTGAAGGAATAGCTAAACTGTTAACAGTGTGAGAATGGGATGGGAGGATAATTTTAACTTTTCCATATTTTTCATTTTCTTTTTTTTAAAACAGTAAATATGTAACACTTCTATAATGAAAAATAAAACAAAAAAGAAGTTTTTAGAGTGACAAAATGTAGGAAGAAGTCATAAATTGCAGTAGAATTTCATTTTCCTACCGTGACTGTAACCCTGATGAACCTTCCTCCTTATAAAATCTACAAAGGAATTAAAAAGTATAACCATTAACTTATTTGTATAATCACCCCACAGGTTGCAATAAAAGTGTAAACCTCTCCAGGAGAAATTTTACAGAAAATATTTGAGATTCTAAATGCAAGCACATATAAATATGCAACCAAGTACTAACAGCATAATTTCAACACGAATAAACTAATCAAAAGTTAACCAATTCTCCATTATCCACACTAACAGGGTACAGTGACCCATATAATTATCAAAGTTTTATATTTAGTCATGGAATATAAGTTTTCTAGAACCTTAAGTCTGAAAGTTGTATGTGTGAACTGACAAAGTTCAAAGTAAGAATTAACAGATACTCTATGATGACTGGACTCAGTAAGAGCTACTGAGCTCTTACTCATACCACTATCAAGATACAATTCACTGGGCTAAACAGAAGGGCCTTCTGGCTTTCTAAGCTTACTATTAGGAGAAAAATAAATGGTAAGGATTTGGGATTGTTGGGGTTTTGTTTCCCACAAGCTCAACGTGAAAGAGGAAGTCCATGTCAATAATACAGTCATCGAAACTGAAAGCAATAATATCCTGAATATCCCACCTAGAGAAAGTGAAAAGTACCCAGAGAAGGACAGGAGAGGACAATGTTCTACATAACAATACTCTAAGATTTAAAGCAACAGTGAGCAAAGGGAAGCTATCTTTGATATATAAAAAATACAAATTTCTATCTCTTTGGGTTCAAGTCCTGGTTCTATTACTTAGGACTTTGGATGTAACAATTATTTGGGTCTCAGTTTCCCTTTCTTCTAAATAAGGAAAACACCACTTACCACACAGGAAGGATGTTTGAAAAATAAAATAATTCACATGAATGCGCTTTCAGTTCTTCAGAAGAAAGTTATGAATCCTTAAGTATGAACCTGAAAAGCTAATTAAAAATAAGATGACCTCGTCAAAATTAAGTCTGAAATACAGTAACCGAGAGGGTCTTTGAGATCATTCATTATCAGCTATCAATTCTACTCCAAATAACTGAATTCATATTAAGGCTGGGCTGAAGTGTAAATGTAAGTTAAGTAATCAAACAAGAGCATTTATAACGTTAATGTAGCAAAAATAAGTTAAATAGGTTATTCAGCATCATCTTGATTTGATATACCTAAAAATACTGATGCAAAATGATGACATTCTCTTGGTGTTTATCTTTTAAAAATATATTTGGAGCTGGTTGCTCAAAAGATACACAATCACTAACAATAAACACTATAGGGTATTAATAATGGAACAACTGAAATAGAGTTAAACACACATGTGCACACAAGGGGGTTATTTCTCTGGTGTATAAAATAATCTGAAACTAGCTAATTAAAATTTTGAAGTCTAATAGTAAAGTAATAGATAGTATTATCCAACATTTACTGAGCAATATATACAAATCATTATGCTAAGCACTAGAAATACAAAAAAGTGTTAAACTTAATATGCACATCCTAAAACTAGACTATAAACTACAGCCAAATAGTTGAGACAACAAGAAATTACTAAATTAATTAATGCGTATTGAATACAACTACTTTTACAATATAAGTAGAAATTAGATAATACAGTGAAAAGGGAAATAAGAAAAAGCGATTCTGGATAGATATCTTAACATTTTATCATTTATAGCAGCTCCCATTTTCTTATACAGTGGTCATCACATCTGACTGGAGGTTTACGGAAACCTTGGGAGGAAGGCACAGCTTATCACTGGCCCTTATTTTAGATGAGGAAAATGAAGCCTGAAGAGATTAGGCAACCTGCGTTAAGATCACAGGTCAGGAGGTGGCAGAGGCAGAGCCTGGCCAGTTTGCCAACTTTGTCTGTAGCTCATTTCTACTACATTACATTTTAAGTTATCAATACTAAAGTGAGAACTAGAAGGGAGCTCAGAAATCTTCTCATACAGTATTGCTCTAACCAATCTGATAAACCTTTCTGAAGAAGGCTCCACCGCAGACCTACTGATTGATAACCCACAAGAGGGAGGTTTTGTATTTTTATAAGATCCCCAAAAGGTGATTGTGGTGATGAGCTAAGCTTGGAAAACACTGTTCTATTATCTGTCCAGTGTGGCAGACATGTGGCTATTTAAATTTACACCTGATTAAATCAGATTGAAAATTGGGTTCCTCAGCCACACTAGTTACCTTTTAAGTGCTCAACAGCCACATGTGGCTAGTGGCCACCATACAGATGGCACAGATATAGGACAGTTCCATCACTGCAGAAAGTTCTATTGGATAATGTTAATTCTAGACCAACCTTTCCACTCTAAGGATGAGAAAACTGAGGCACAGAATCTTGTCCAACAAGGCATATGAAGTTATTTAGTGGCAGAATTGAAATGCTAACCTAATCTGCCAGTGTCCCTCATACTGTATCACTTCATCCCCATAAATTTAGGGTTTATTCAAATGGGAATTGTTTTCTTTCCACCCTTCCTTGTGGGTTGCAGTAAGAAGAGAAATCTGAAATTTGTGGGAAAAAAATCCTAAAAAAACAAAGGTTTATTTAAAATTCATGACTTAAGTCAAACAATCTGCAATTTTTGTATAAAATTAAAAGTAGCCTTGGACAGTTAAGAATACCCTAGTGTTAGGAGGCATAATCTTAGTTTAACTATTAACTCCTTCCTCTTTTACCATCCTGATGTTTTTATCTTTCTTTTGGATCTGAAACTCTGAAACTAATGATAATTGGCTTACCTTAACATTATAAATATGAAAAAGTTAAATCTTACTTAGCAAACATTTTAAAGATGAAAAACTGAGAAACAAAGAGCAACCAAAAGAATAGTGACTTGTCTAATTTTAGGATGTGGTCACTCAAATCACTGAGAACTCATGGCTTTCAGTAATCCACTGGTTTTGTATTTATAACATTAATAGGTTGTTTTCACTTCTAAGCTATAGTTTAACCTTCCTTTGACAACTATGTTACATTTAAAACAATTTAAATAGTTTTAATTTCTGATGAAACTGAGGATTTGAAGCCTCTGAACATCTAAGAAAAGGTTTAGACACTAATTCAATCAACATATAACCAGCCATAAAAATATACAGTAGTGTCTTCTTTAAAAATAAAACCAGTCATTCCTGTCTAGTATGTTTAGAATGCAAACGTCTCCAAAGTCAGTCAGCTTAAGTCATGACAGTTCATGTTTAAAGTGAACAGGAACTTGGGAATTTCACGTTAATGAAAACTTTCAAGACAGAACTATGCAGCTCCATTAACTTTTATCAGTATCTAGTATTCATTCCCATGTTAACTTTCAGTGACTAGATTTAGAGAAAATATCACATGTCGAAGTGTGTACAAAATTAAAAACTGGACAGTTAAAAAACATGTTTCAACATAAGACACTTATGAACAGATACTTATTCAAGCCAGTTTTTGCCATAATTTGCAAGGCACCCAGAAGCGTGGAGTATGGGGTTCTACATAAGTAGAAGCTACTTGTTATTCAGGGAAGGAGGTGGTGCAAAAAAAGACATCTATTTTCTTTCTAAACACTCATTGGTGTACAGGTAAACAAATGAAAAAAAAATACAGTGTAAGCACATTAGAGCAGAGCAACAGTCTCCAAGTCATAAAAGGGGGAGAGAAAACAATTTCTGTGCTCTAACATTTTAACCGGGGGACTGGGAGTTTAAAGTTAAATTTACTCTTTGGCTTTTATACTAGATTCATTACCTCTACATTTTATCTGTTACGTCTCGACTCCCACTTCACCATATTAGGAAGAGGAAAACATGTGCCCCCAAGATTCCTATGACAATAAAACTTCTCTTGGAAGCAGCAATAGCTCACCAAATGAAGGAGAATATTAGAAAAATGCTAAGTGACAATAGCAGAACTGAACTATCTAAACCACCGAGTGACAACTGATGTATACTAATACAAGAAGCATGAAAAATATTGCAAACTCTAGGCAAATATTAAAGTGTTGCAAAAATTTCATATCTCATTAAAAATTGGAAATGAAAAAGAAAAAGTATTGTGAAGGAGGGGCCCCAAGCAGGAAGCCCAGCTTGAAAGGAAAATACAGGTCAAAAGGAGGTGGTGGAGGGGAGTGTAGTTCTTCTGATCATCCCTCTACCAGGAGATGCTTTCTAACAGCTTCGGCACTATCTCCAAGAGGCAATTTAGGCATCCCTTAGGGAAAGTGATTTAGGCAATGAGAAATGTGCTTTGAGATAGGATGCTGAAATTTCTAACTTTAAAAAGATGCACTAGTGAGAGAAAACAGCCATGAAATTCCCAGATCCTATTTCCCAAACTTCCTGTAGAAAAATATCAACCATTCTCAGACATAGAAGCCAGCACATTTGAACTGACACATGTGACAAAACAAAGTTTTCAGGTGGCCCTCACTATCCCTCAAGCCCTCCTTCCCCCACTTCCCTGCTGTTCTTTCCTGGCACACAAAATATAGGCCAATGAGCAGTGGGTGGTGAGAGAAATTTTGAGAAGTAAAAAGGGAATCCACTTAATAAGGACACGAATGAGTCTAAAGAGTCTAATGAGGGTATAGGCAAACAACAATCAGAACTGAACGGCAAGGGCTTTCCACGGCAGCAGCGAGTGCTCAGTGTTTGCAGGGGTTTAGGCAGAGGCCAGGCTACCTACCACTTGTCAGAGAGGCTGCACAGGGGACGGCTGCTTTGGGTGACCTCTAATGTCTCTTCCGACTCTGAAATGTTAGGATTCTTATTTCACAAAAGAGAACGCAACGGTCGTAAAAGCCCACCGACTTAGAATCCTTTTAAATAGGCGGCGGCTTCCCAATCACCACTCCCACCTCTCCCATCCCACACGTGCCCACCCCGCCCCCTTTCAATTTTTCCACCTCCACGTGCGAAACGCCTCGTGGCACCTGCCCCACAGCGGAGAGGCGCCTTCCCCTGCAAAGCACCAAAACTCTGCCCCCTTGGGAGAAATGAGGACTCCACTCCCCGATTCTTGGGCGGCCAAAAAAGGAAGTCTCAAATCCAGCCTTTCTCCCCCAGCCAGAGCTGAAGGGGGACGGGGGACCGGAACGAAAAGAACTTTCTTCTAAAATTTTTCTTCCGAAAAGTAAAGAGGATAGAGAGAACCCTGATGAGTCCGGGGGTGGGGGGAGGGGAACCCCCGAATCGTTCAACGGCCGGTAGGGGGAGGGGGGCTCCGGAGGTGGAGGGGGCGTGGGATGGAGAAGCAGGCCTGGGAGCGGGGTCAGGGGGCTGCAGGGGTTCCTGGGGTCGGGGGGCTGCCGGCGTCCCCCCCACCTGGCACACAAAGCAGATGCCGCGCTCGGCTCTCACCAGATCCTTTGTGTTTTCCATCAGGGCCTCATGGGTAGGGGTTGTCCGTGCTCCCCGGGCCCGCGGCGCCCCCTCCCGAGCTGGGGGCAGGCGCCTCTCCCCGGGACTACGGCGACTACAGGGGGGCCCCGACTGGGCCCAGACCGGTGGCGGCGGCGGCAGCCCCCGGATTTCCCCCCTTTAACTCGGGTGGCCCCAGGATATCAACAACATTAGCATAGCCCTCCCTCCCCAGTGCGCCTGCGCCGTGACCCGCGCCCCGATTGGCCCACTTCCCTACATACCCTCCGCTCTGTCTTCCAGCGTGGGACCCTCTGCAGGCTCCGTACTCCAAGGGCCGTACCAAGACGAAGGGGTGGAAAAGGCGATTGGGCTCGTGTAAGTCGAGTGGTTAAAAAGTTAGGAAGAAGAGTAGCAGTTTTAGCCTGTCATCTCAGTTTATACCCTGGCTTCCTTGCGCTCCTTTCAATCAATTGCAGCTGCGAAGTTGTGTTGGAAAAAAATTTCCACTCCCGTCACACCGCTTCCCCCTCCACCCGGAAGATTGGTTCTCTCGGAGGAACTCCCACACGGGGAGGGGCTCGTGAGGGGATGGGCGTTACACAAGGGGGACAGTGCTGGTCACGTGCTCACAGGGCGGTGCAGCCTCTTTCCGGCCCCCTGTGGCCTCAGCCGCTGCGGAAAGTGAGGGTCTCGGCGCACGCGCAGTGAGGATCCACGTGAGCACCTGCGTTCCTTCTCAAACCGAACCATGCCGCCGGAACGGAGGAGCCGAGCGAGACCGGACCGGAGAGCCGGAGCGAGACCAGACCGGAAGACCCGAATGAGGCCGGACGATAGAGCCACGGGGCCGGACGGGCCGCTCCAAAAGGCTGCTCCTTCATTTCAGCGGAAATCACCGGCCCGGCGGCGCGCGGCGGCCGCCGTAGTCGCGGCCGAGGAGGAGGGACGGCTCCGGCAGCGGAACCGCCAGACGCTAGAGGAGGACAAGTCGGCCGTGGAGCGGTGCTTGGAGGAGCTGGTCTTCGGCGACGTCGAGTACGACGAGGACGCGCTGCTGCGGCGTCTGCGGGGCCCGCGGGTGAGGGAGGCCGCGGCGTGCGGGCTGGGCGCTTGGTGGGCGGTGTGCCTCCGAGGGCGGAGCCTGGGCGACCTGTGGCGCAGGGGAGCGTTCAGGTGGGAGGGAACCGGGAATGCGGGCGCCGCGGGGTGCCAGACTGAATGTCCCGGGAGGGCGGAGACCGCGCCTTTCTCCGCCCCCGAGGGAGCCGCTGCGCCTGGTATGCAGCAGGCGCTCAACACATATTCTTTTAGCCAACTAATCGTGAGCATCTTTCGATTAGTGGCAGTGGCTCAGTTCCACTGTCTTCTCCCCAGACTCAGTGTTTTTTTCTCTCTTGGTCATTCAGTCGCTTGCCTCAGTACTTTGCTGTGATTCAGGGGTTCCACTTCGTTTGTGAAATCAGAATTCGTGGGCACAGGCCTGGGAGTCTGTTTTAACAACCACATTGAGTGGTTGATAAGCCCGCTTTTGAGTGTGACCGTGTATTCGTCTATTAAAGTAATATTTGTGAGCCAGTTTGGCGCCAGATACTTCTCCTGGCAGTGCAAACCCTGCATGATTGATTGATTATAATTTTTTTGCATGCTTTTTGCTTTTTTTTTTTTTTTAATCCTATACCTGTCTTTTCTTTCAATATAGGGAGTCCCAGGCAGTTTCTAGGCACTGGAGGAGAAACAGCAGTGGACGAAAACTAACAAAAATCCCTGCCTTGGAGCTTGGATACTTAGTGGCAGAGGCAGAAGATAAAATTCAAGTTATGTCAGTGAAGTGCTGAAGGAAAAATAAAAATAAAGGCGTTCAAGAAAGGGAGATAAGCGTGTGTCGAGGGGGCCTGTGAAATTTTACATAGGGTAGTCAAGCAAAGCCTTACTGAGAATTACTCAGTTTGATAAACAAATGCAGACCTAGCAAGTATCAGTTGATTGCCAGAACCTCATTTGGGTGCTTATGGGAGAGGTTGCAGAATCTAGTTGGGAGAGAGAAATACTACTGGAAAAATGCTGAACTGTGTGACAGTTTCCCATTTGGGAAAAGAAACAGTTTAAGTGAGGTGGGGTTTGTTGGGCTTTGAAGGATCATAGGCCAATAATAGAGCAAGTAGAAATCATTTGGACATTTCTATCATGTGGTTTTGGGAAAGCTCAAGCTCACTTCAGGTGAAATTCTGTGGTCTAGATTTAGACTTATTTGGATAGTATAAAATTTCTTGAGGAGGTAAGGGGTCAAGAACAGTTAAGAAAAGTGGAGAAGTATGTTTATGAATATGAAATATGAGTTAATTATGACATTCAATCATGTTACTTTATCTTTGGTGTCTGCCTTTGGTCCTGTGATTTCTGTAGTTCTGTGATTTTCCCTGCTCCTTTAATCATCTATTAACTTACCTTTTTTACTTGTCTTCCTTGGTTTTTTTCCTTTCAGCAAGTTGACTCTTTGACTATTCCATCTTACCTCATGTGTCCAACGGGTGGTCCCATTCTCTAATCTCATTTTCTGTTCGATCTCCAGCATTTGCTGTGGTAACATTCTGTCCCATAATTTGATAAGAGGACCATAAAAACAAAGCATTCTACAAGCCATCATTCTGCAAAGTCTGCCACCATGGGGTATGAAAGACTCAGTGGTTGTGGGCATTTTGTCTTTTCTAGGTTCAAGTACAAGAAGACTCAGGTGACTCTGAAGTGGAGAATGAAGCAAAAGATAATTTTCCACCTCAAAAGAAGCCAGTTTGGTTGGACGAAGAAGATGAAGATGAGGAGATGTAGGTTGCCTAATTTTTCTTCTGGAGTCCCTCTGGATTCTTCAAAAGTTACTTTGCAGGTTTTAAGAAAGTTCTCTTTCTGAATATGTGAGTACGTGAAGACTTGAAAAATACTGGAAAGTATAGCAAAGATCATTCATAATCCCATCACTGAGGGAGAGCCACTGTTAATATGTTGGCATACATCTCTCCCTCTGTCTTCTGTGCTATATAGAAAAGCTAAAAGAGCACAGTGTTTGGGGTCAGACCTGAGTTTGCCTCCTAGTTTGGCCAGTTCCTAACTGACCATTGGCAAATTTGGAACCTACCTTTTCTCATGTGTAAAATGGAGATAATAGTAACTATATCAGAAGGCTCTTGAGATTAAATAGTGTATGTAGAGCTCTTAACACAATGCCTGAAATTGAGAAAAGACCAAAAAAAGTTAGCCATAATGTACAATATGTACCTTAAGATGAGAATGTATTGTATTGCAAGTATTTTCCCCAATTAAAAAAAAAAAACCTTTATAAACATTTTAAAATGTATGTATTATAGTCCATTATATGATTTAACCATAATTTACATAGCTATCGTTGGATATTTTTCCTTTTAATAGATTGATGTTGAGATGAGCATCTTTATGCATAAATCTTTTTCTACTTAAAATTATTTAAGAAAGATTCTTTGAGGTAGATGAACTTAGTCAAAGAGCAGACATTTTTAAGGTTCTTGATAAATACTGCCAGGCTGACCCTGAGGTTCTGCTAATTTACCTTTCCATTGAAAGGTGTCCGTTTCACTCCATTTTAAAAGCAGTGATTTCTCTGGTCTTCCCTGGCGGTCCAAGTGGTTAAGACTTTGCCTTCCAGTGCAGGGGGTGCGGGTTCGATCCCTGGTGGGGGAGCTAAGATCCCACATGCCTTGCGGCCAAAAACCTGCAACATAAAACAGAAGCAATATTGTAACAAATTCAATAAAGACTTTAAAAATGGTCCACATCAAAAAAATCTTTAAAAAAAAAAAAGCAATGATTTCTCTTTTTTCAGACATTGTCAGTTTAGGGTGACAGTTTAGGGTAGGAAACATCTAACTTGTGTTGAGAAAACATTTTTTTATTAGTCACTGGTTTTTCTTAAAAGTAGTCTCTATTACGTCTTTGAGTATTTGTCTACTGGAGACTTTCATTTTGTTTTTTTATTTTTAAAATTGTACATAAGGTGTACAACATGATAATTTGCTGTATATATACGTGGTGAAGTTTTTACTACACTCACGTGAACTAATTAGCATTTCCATTTCTTCAGATGGTTACCATTTTTTTTTGTGGTGAGAGCCCCTGAAATCTACTCCCTTAGCTAATTTCCAGTGTATAACACTGTCATTAACTGCAGTCATGCTACATAACTGCAGCTTTGTACCCTTTGACCAACATCTCCCTATTTCTTCTATCTTCTCACCCCTGGTAACCATCATTCTGCTCTTCACTTCTACGTATCCTACTCTTTTCAGGTTCCACATACAAGTGAGATTATGCAGTACTTCTCTTTGATGTCTGTTTTATTTCACTTAGCTTGACGTCCTCCAGGGTCATCCATGTTGTTGCAAATGGCAGATGAGACTGTTTATTAATGATTTTAGTATATCAGCTCCTTACATATTGAGAATTTCAAACCTTTATATGTCAAATTTATTGCACATTATCTAGGTTTTTGTTTGCCTTTAAGTTTGTTTTAATGTTGTCTGATGCACAGAATATTTTAATGTTGATGTAGTGAAGTCTATGACTCTTTTCCTTTTTTTTTTTTTCTGTTGTTTTTAGTAAAAAGTTCTTCAGAGAGAGAAATATTTGCCTGTATTTTAAGGTTTCGGTTTTGTTTTTGTTTTTGTTTTTGTTTTGTTTTTGTATTTAACTGATTTACCTAGAATTTATTTTGGTGAATGGCATAAGCTGTGTCTAGATAAGTAATTATGAATTTGAAATAGCTCTTCAAAGGGTAAACTAGATGATCCGAAATACTGGAGATTCCTTTTTGTTTTGGGAAGAATGGAGAATGTGCATTGGAGATGTTCCACGTCTTATAAATCTTGACCTATATTGTTTGCTCAAAATACTGAAGGCAGCAACTATTTATGTTGATTCTTTAAGTTATTGAAAGCATGCTGTTTTCTGTTTTTTTTATAGGGTTGACATGATGAACAATCGTTTTCGGAAAGATATGATGAAAAATGCCAGTGAAAATAAACTTTCAAAAGATGAGCTTCAAAAGAGACTTAAGGAAGAGTAAGTGTCCTTTTTTATAGGTTTGCCAAGATGTATTTATAACCAGTATTTTATTTTGATTTGCTCAGTCTTTGGCTTCTTGGGTAGTCAGATTTCCATTTTGAATTGGAAGAGCATTGTTCTTGGAAGACATGATTAAGTTTTAGTATGGGGCCTGAGAAGGAATACAAGTACAAAAAACTTTGGAAAAAACCTGTAATCCCGCCATTTAAATATAATCAATGATATTATTTTTTTTAACATCTTTATTGCAGTATAAATGCTTTACAATGGTGTGTTAGTTTCTGCTGTATAACAAAGTGAATCAGCTATACATATACATATATCCCCACATCTCCTCCCTCTTGCATCTCCTTCCCACCCTCCGTATCCCACCCCTCTAGGTGGACACAAAGCACCGAGCTGATCTCCCTGTGCTATATGGCTGCTTCCCACTAGCTATCTGTTTTACAGTTGGTAGTGTATATATGTCCATGCCGCTCTCACTTTTTCTAAGCTTACCCTTCCCCCTCCCCGTGTCCTCAAGTCCATTCTCTGTCTGCGTCTTTATTCCTGTCTTGCCTCTACGTTCTTCAGAACTTTTTTCTTTTTTTAGATTCCATATGTATGTGTTAGCATAGGGTATTTGTTTTTCTCTTTCTGACTTACTTCACTCTGTATGACAGTCTTTAGGTCCATCCACATCTCTGCAAATGGCACAATTTTGTTCCTTTTTATGTGTATTAGCTATTTTAAAGTCCTTGTGTGCTAATTCTGTCAGGTCTGTCATTTCTGTTTCTGTTGACTGCTTTTTCTTCTGGTTATGGTTCATGTTTTCCTGCTTCTCTGTATATCTAGTAATTTTGATTGGATTCTGGGCAGTGTGAATGTTGTTCAGTGTGTGGATTTTGTTTTTTGCTTTTAATGTGTGTTGAACTTTGTCTTGGCAGGCAGTTAATTGACTTGAAAATCACTTTGATCCTTTCAGGATTTGTTTTTAGCTTTCTTCTCCAGTAGCATTTATTCTAGGCTGGTTTAACCCCATTATTAAGTTATGACCTTCCTG